GGGCMAAWWAARGGGCSTGGACGACAGGCTGCCGACTAAGRCGAAGCTGTCTTCGATCCCAAGCGGCCTTTTTTCAGCTTTTTGAGGTCGCAGCCATATACAGGTTTAGCCTCGAATCGGAAAAAATCTAAATCTTTCGGGTTACCATTGTAGCGTGTTTTCATCTTTTTTTTCTTTTTCGCATTCTTTCTTTCGTTTTTCCTTGTCTTTCTGTCTTTGTTTTTGAAAGCTTTTTGCGCAACAAACAGAATCAGTGCATGGATTTTATCCGAGTATCGCCAAGGTGGATAACTTGCGCAAGCCCCTGGAAGGAGGAGATGTGGCGTGCGATGGGGTAAGATAGCTTCGGCTTCCAAACCTGGGATTGGACGCTGTCCTTGTCAATTGTCAGAGATCGCGAACTGTACATTGTATATAGATGTCCCGGGTTGTACGGCAGTATAGAAACAAAAACCATTCATACGACGTGTTTGTTCACCTTCAATTTAAAGGCCCAGTGTGCACCATTATGCTTTGAGAGCCGCGATGGCCTGGAGGCGGCCATTTTCAGTTTGTCGAAAGTCAATAAACTGCGTTTCGAATCCGCCCATATCTTGACCATCTCACTTTTGTATAATCACGTTCGACGCTAATTTTAGAGTTTTCAACCATTGGACATTTCTTTTATGGTGAGTTTGTACTCTAGAAGTATTTTTTTTTCTAAAATCTTAACAATAACAGAGGCGCGCAAAGCATAAGTGCAAACTGGGCCTTTAGATTTTCAATCAAACACGAACAAGATGAAAGAACGGGTTTTTTTTACTAGTATCCAATATACCGTAACCTTCCCTTTTTTCTTCTATTTCAGTCAACACCAATAAAATGACAGATACTTTATTAAATAAAACTAATTTTAACAAATAAATTCTTTCATGTACGAAAACAGAATAAGAGGAAAAGTATATTGCTAAGAATTCATTAGATTACAGGAAATAACAGTTAAAAATGTTATTGTACAGACACAAAAGAGTAAGTAACTAAAATTCATTCAGGCTTCAACTAAAAAAGTCAATTTTCCATCACTGAAACGCCTTGGCCTCCTATGCAGCAGCTYCTGTGTTAAGAAATTTAACCATCTGCAAGGGAGGCTACTTAAATATATTCATGGAAATTAGAAAAGCTAAGTGCAAACGGTGATGAGACCCAACACTGACCTTCAAATGCAGCAAATTATCAACTAAGTGAAAAAATGAATGTATTGAGAAATTTTGTTTGTTTTTTTTGGGAGGGCCAAATGTCGACAAGTGGGTGTCCAACAAAATTAAAAATTGCCTTTTCCTCTGCAAAATATTAAGCAATCCATTGACTGAGTGACATGTCAACATTAATGAAAATACTGCAGTGTGAATGCTTTTTTCGCATCAGTTACACAACATTAAAAACTTAACAACTGAATATCAAAATTACGTTTTAAGAAAATTGAGTCTAAAAAWTTAACATTATTAACRAGTTCATGGAAGACTTGAAAGGTCTCTCTTGGGAGCCACGCCTTTKGGTCTTTCTTTTTCTTTCTTTTTCTCCTCAAACATTAATATTCTGAAACACGATAAAATATACATTGTTTTCTCAA